TCTGAGCCCTTCCCCACCCCCGGGGACACAGCAGCCACTGAGCATCCCCTGAGAGCAAGAGCCACCTGCCCTCCAGACTCATCTAACTTCTTGGAAGGGCTGACCACCTGGGAAAATCCCACAATGGGTTCTGGGGCCTGCAGGGCTGTCCCAAGGTTGAGATGGAGCCGATGGGCCTCAGGGGACAGAGCCTGAAAGACACTTAGGAGAAACCACGAGGCTCCTAGAATGGGTGCACATCCTCCCGGCCCAGGGTCCACAGCGTCTGTGGGGGCCTGCCCGGCCCTGCCATCTGCATTGCTGTGACAAAGCGTGAAGCCCAGTGAGATGGCTGTGTCCCAGGGGACGCCATCCTGTGGAACCTCCTACTTGACACAGAGTTTAAAGTCTGCCATCAGCTCTGCCCTCGGAGCTGCACAGCCTCTGCAGTGGGTATAACTTACATAGGTATATATTTATGGACGTATATTTTGCATAAAAATGTATTTATAGAATTTATTTTATACCTGAGAGCGTGGTGTGCATACAGGCAGACTTGAGCAGGCACCGGGAGAGTGCCTGGACTGCCAACCCCAGGGAATGTTTGTCTCTGTGTGTCCTCAATTGAAATTGTGCATATGTGAATATATTTCAATATTTAAAGCACACGTCCCTGTACAGTAGATTTTATTTCCATGCAGTTGCACAGCGTGGTGGTTTTACCCACCCTCCATGTGGATTTTCGTGAGTGTGTGCCCTGAGGGCAGAGGTGGACTCAGCCCACGGCCCCCCATTTTTATCCAAGAGGGACCATGCATGTGTGTGCTTGCACATGTGTGCTGAGTGCATGTGTACGTGTGTGTGTGCACACATGTGTGCAAGCATGTATGTGTGCGTGTGAGAAATGGGACAAAAGGGAGCCCAGCACAGGCTCCCTTGTTTGCAGGATCTCTTGGGTGGGCTCAGTCTTGTCCCAAGAGGGGCCCATGTCGGTCCAAGACCTGTCTCATGGCTTTGGGGGTTGGGGGTATGAAGCAAGGGACCCTGTCTATCACAGGAGCCCCGTGGGAGCGAGGGAAGACAGGCCTTGGTCCTGATTGTGGCTGCATGTCCCCAAGGTGGCCCTCCAAAGTCAGATGAAGGCCAAGAGTTCTAGGCTCCAGGTAATAGTGTTTGAAGTGTCTGCGGCCTCTGCGTGGCAGCGATGGAGACAGGCCTGGGTGTCAGATGGGTGGTCATGCCTCGCACCCTACAGGATTGAGAAAAG